GTGTGTGCGTCTGTGTGTGTGTGTATGTGCGCTTGTGTTTGTATTAGTGTTTGTGTTTGTGTATGTGCTTGTGTTTGTGTTTGTGCTTATGTTCGTCTGTGCGTGTGCGTGTGTTTGTGCTTGTGCTTGTGTCTGTTGCCTTTGTGCTTGTGCTTGTGCTTGTGCTTATGCTTGTGCTTGTGTCTGTTTGCCTTTGTGCTTGTGCTTGTGCTTGTGCTTGTGCTTGTGCGTGCGTCTGACGCATGATGCCACATGGCAATGGTGCTATCAGGAACGCCGCATAAGCTGCCCTAGTTGCTAGTTGAAATAACCCAGGTCTGTTCTTGCCCAGTGCTCGATTACTCACCCCGTCTCCACGACGAGTGGCTGCGACGGTCAACACCCAATTGAAGCGCTCCCCACGAGGCGCACAAATGAGTGCGCTTCCCATCAGCTCCTTGGAGTTCTGGTTGATGGCCTGACATGAACAACACGGATAGTAATGATACCTTTATTCTGAACACTTGTAGCAACAATCTTCATAATAGGAAGAACTCTTCTTACTACCGTTGCTGATCGAACTACGGTAGTAGTAGCAGCCGTGTCTTACTATCAACATCAACGTTTCTCTTAATTTTTTGTTATTATCCTGTCATATGAGTGCTTATTTGTTGTCCATATTATTGCTATGACCACGGCTGAGGCGGTCGCCTACGCTATTCATGTGTCTTTCAGCAGCCCTCGCCCGTGCCTTCATGACAATCGTGGAGCCCTCCTTGATTGTCCGGACCAGCATTCGGGCCATTAGCCTGGAACGCAAAGCACAGACTCTCTGTAGGATTGTCGCTCACAAGCTAGCTGGATAGGCACAGTAACCCCAGCGACCATGAGAAGCTTTCGATAATGGGGGGATCATCCACACGGTCTTTCACGACTTCAATGAAGGCGTTCACGAATGGGCCGAAGAACTCCTTAACATGCTGGACGATCAAGCGCGATCAGCTTCAGATGTAAGCACAACAACCAGCCTGCTCTGTGATGGAACGTCTTACATGCACAATTCTTTCCTAGGGTGCCAAGCAAGACACCGTGGGGACAGCGTAGCCGACGTGACGCAGTCCGAGTGCAGAAAGCTCGTCAACCATCCGGTACGGCTCCTGTCTTGTGAGAGTTTGTGTTATTCTCGCTCAGCTTGAAGAACTCGCAAACCGAAAGCCGGAAGTTGCCAGCTGCACTCTCGCCAAAATTCTGCCAAGATGTTCTACAGCCTAGTCCGCGAAAGTGTGCTATGCCCAGAAGCCACGAAACAGTCCTGGTACAACTCCTCACCTGACAGCTTCACGGTTCTGATAGCATCGCAGTTCATGTCTTCAAAAAGCCATTGTAGCGTGATTTGCGTGTCGACTTTGCGATCCAAATTGAACAGCCTCATCTGCCAAGAAGGCCTGAATGCATACCATAAGGACCAGCACGGCTGCACAAACTGTCAGAGGCTTGAGTCCAGCTGCTTCCTCCCAGCCCGACCCCTTATCACAGCTACCAGAAGAGACTACAACGGCGCAGCAGCAGCGGAATCAGAACAAAAGCATACAAGAAAAAGCAGATTTACCCCCAATACACTGCAGAATTCAAAGGCAGCGACCTCGCCGAAGACAACACAAAGTGGCGGCTCGTCGTGGGCCCGAAAGCCCAAGACCAGGCCATGGAAGTCGAAATTCCGTTGGGTTTCTGGTTAGTGCAACTTGCCGGACAACGAAGCACCCCGGCGATGATGCAATGATGCAAAATGAATACGGACCTGCAAACAAGCCGCTCAGTCGCATGACAGAGTCGGCGATGAAGTGCAGTCGAGTCCTTGACTGCTTCATGTAGTCCTGACCTTGATCTCAAGAAACTGGGTCGCTGGAAAGACACTTGCAAGCCCGACCGCCCACCAGTCACGCATTCGCGGGTTCTGACAATTGAGAAGACGGCCAGCAGGCACGATGGTGAAAAAGTTACCTGAGTCCCACGGAAAAAAATGTCGGCACACCGGGCCAAGCTAGTGACTCAAAACTCTTCCGTGGATCTGCCGCACGAACTTCGACAGTTCGGGTCGGGTCTCCGATGTCCACAGGCTCAGATCTTCGATGTTGACACGTCAGATTAGTCTATCAACTTTCTTGAGGCCAGCGTGCAGCAGCTTCGGGGTCGACGAAGCATGTCTCTCAGAACAGAAGCAGTGTATGCTTCCACTGTCCAAATATAACATTCTCGACCGGTCTCGACGTCGCCCTTCCAGAATAAAATATCAGCAAGTTGCGGTAGACTTCCTCTCCAATCTCTTGCCGCGCTTGGTCATCTAACGAGGACATATACCGAGACAAGATCCTGGCCTCACGCACACTGCAGCCATGCCAAGCACCATGCATGCTGGACACATGCCCTCATCTTGAAGCACAGCCACACACAAAATCTTGTCGTGAAGTTGGCCATGCCAGTGACACTAGGTGCTCACTCCAGGGTGTGCTCAAGTTCTCAACCTGCAGCCGCGACACCCGTGCGGCAGGCTTGCCCAACTCTTCGTTCAGCAGGCTCCTCGGATAGTCCGCAAACAAAATCAAGCCCGACAAATCCTGAGACAAAGTTTTAGGAGGGTCGCTGCACGCTCTCCCATAGCCAGCCTGAGTTCGACATAGGGCCGGAGACGGGAGGCCAATGTGGAATTTGTTGCAAGTACCACGATGTTTCTTTTCCAATGGACACAAAAAGAGCACGTGACAATTCAATTCCAGAGGAGGCTCACATGTGGCAAAGCCAAGGGGCACCAAACCTCTTCGTGTGCTGATGTCCAGTCCTGCCAAGGCATGCCAACCGTAGGTCAATACCGTCAATACCGAATCAAAAATTCGCAGCATGCTTGGGGATTGAAGTTGTCCTTCGGCAGGAGTGACCGCAGGGATGCAAGCATAACCTCAGGAAACGCAACTTATCGCAGACTAAGCATGAGCCAAGCTTCTGGCTCTTCCAACAGCATCTGTCTTGTGTGTTCACCTGGATACGCGTGAAAGTCTAATCTCTGTAGGCTCTGGAGTGGACGGGAGGTTTGACTTCGCTCGGTTAGCTTTGCATTCTGCGCCGACAGAATGCACCCTTCAACTTCAGAAAGGACCCTGCAAGCCATCCGAGAGGCAGCTTTGAAGTCGTCGAGATTGATCTCGGTGTCCAACTTAGAGATCTTCAAGACGAGAACATCACATTCTTCCTGCCGGAGCTCTAGGACGTGGGGAGTGGGGAGTGAACCTCCTGCAGTCTGCCTGATACGATGCACTTTCGGGTCGAGACTGTTGCTTGAGAGCTCACATTACGCATGTTGATGATGCAGCCGGGTTCTGTCCTGCAGGCGATAAACATTGGCAGCGTTGCACACAATGTCATCGAAGGCATCAAGGATTTCGAACATCCAGTCCTGACAGGGCGTGAATGGACGCCGCGACCGTGCAGAGTAGCTGCGCGCCTGCAGCAGGTCCATCACGGCAGCATTGAAGCAGAACATGTCCTTAGACTCTGCGAGGAGGCGCTGCCGATGAATACTGCGCCGCCATGTGATCGGATCCAAGATGCATAAAAAGTCTTTGGCACATGCTGCTCCTGCAAGGGAGTGTCCGACGGCTGATAAGAACATGCTGGCCCCACTTTTGCAACGCCTATGCACATGGTGATTCCAAGACTTCGCGAGGCGAAACTGCATCAATTGACCCTCGTTCGGGCAAACTGAGCAAGAAAGCCCAAGTACCCATCCCATGCACAACCATCAGGTGGCTCTGCCAGGTACAACTGACTGACTGGCCTGACGGCGTCGTCGCTCTGCCATGCGCTCCTCACCGATGTACACGACCTTTTGGTGACCGGATACTACCCTATTTGCAAATGCTTTCGCTGCGACACCACCGTCCCTGCCGCACCTCTTCTGGCACATGCTCATCCATCTTTTGCTTCATGAGCTGTGCTGTGTCCTGCACATGCAGTACCTGCACCTGCCTTGCATGGCTTCATGGAAGACCTCAAGAACCACGCCTGAGGCTTCTTCTCGCCGGACGCTTTTTTGACCTTGTCACGATCTCTGTTCGCTTCTGCCCAGCTGGTTGACCTGATCTATGACTACTTTCGGTATGCCGCACAAGCTTTCTTGCTGTGCCATGGGAAATTAGATTGGACAGCGAGCCGTGCTTCTGCAAGTCAGGCACAATGTCTGCAATCGCTGCGCGTAGGTGGCTCGTATGTATAACAGCGCTCCACCTGCACCATCACCAGCTGCAACATTCGCCAAGCTTCCTAACTCCAAGCACTTCCAGGCTGGCCTATGTAGTTGAGGACCTTGATAAAGCTTCCCAGAGCTTGCCGTGAGTGCGATGCAATCACTTCACTGGCTACCAGTTCCACCAGCGCATCGCGAATTATCCTTATTTGCTCTGAGATGCTCCGTCTGTCAGATATCTAACACCTTTTGCTCTCATCTCTACGGACGCAGCTGCATCAGGGACTTCCGTTGCTGCAAGAAAATGCCGATCAGCAGCCGCACGCGAGAGCCAGTGACTTCAAGATTGAGGTGCTTGAAACCTGGATGCGGATGCCCGGTCACACTCGTTACAATCACGAGCACAGCTCTGTGCACCCCTGGCTGGCTGAGACAAAGTCGAGCCAGGGCCTTTGCCAAAAGTGTCCCACTCACTCTGGTTTGCCATCCCAGTATCTGTTCATACTCGGCTTGTGCGACGCTTCCTCATAAACACCATTCTCGGCGCCGTGACGTAAGTGTTTCACGAAACTTACAGTCCTTGACCACCTGATGTTTTCCGAGCCATCCTTTGGCTTGGGGCTGTTTCTTTTGTGAACTGTGGCAGCTGACTGGCGGTTCCTACGAGGTGCTCGTTGGAAAGCTGCGGCTGCAACAGTTGCAGGTACACGAGATTGGATGTGGCCAGTACTCTTTCATGAAGCACAGTTCCGTTGGCATGCTGTCACAAGATGGCAAATGGTCTCGCTCCCCGCAGATTGGGATATGGGCGTGACCACTGCTCGCCACTGCGCACGTACATGAAGAAATCTTTCCAAAGATGGCATGAAGGCAAAGACAATCACCGAATGCAAGCACGCAACAAGCGCAGCATCCCCTTCCAAGAAATATATTGCCACTGCAGCACGGAAAAGCTATTGTGTAGAGAATGTGATAAGACAGTCCCAGGGGCCGAGGACGTCCACCAACTGTTTAGTCTGTTTCGGGTTCCGCAAGGAGTTGATTATCCTGAGCAAAAGCAAAGAATGAAAGCTTTGAGTGCATCGTCGAGAAGGAAAAACAATCAAAATCCAAGGTTCTGGTTGATGCCTTCCTGAAGGCGCATTGATGCAACAGCCCTGGCACAAGGATAGCATGAACTTTAAGATAAAATTCTGCAACGTTTGATCACTTTACACCTGGCCTTGGCATCTTAAACAAAGTCCCCAGAGTGGGCGATGCGTCGAGGATTGCATCAAACATCGCCTGGATCTGAACAGCACTTTAAAGCATCTAACTATCCGGAGATAGCTTCCGAGTCGACACCGCAAACACGTAGCAGTCGCAAGATGTCGCAATCCAGCATGAACACCCCCGGGGCCTCACCAGCCGCCTCTGACGAATCATAGAATGAGTTGAAGCGACTCCACACTTCCTGGACCTGCTTCGCCTCCCGTGGAACACCCGCTTCTGGGACGAACCTACGAGGGTACATGTTCGGGTTGAAAAGCATGTCGGTTGCATGACTCGTTTTGACGCCCTTTTTCTGGGATCCTTCCTCGTGCTCCGGCATGTCCAGCTCCTCGAAAGACCTTTGCATCAGGAAGAGCTAAATACACCAAGACTTGGACGTGGAAACCGAAACTTGGCATGCAATGCCGACTGACGGCATGATGTTAAAGTCACCATTCAAGTCGTCTGCTTCTCCATCTTCTCCACCAGCCTTGAGTTGGCAATGCCGACTACTCAAAGGGCTTGCTCAGGCAGTGTGATGTACAAGTTTCGCTTGTCAACAATGTAAAGCTTCTTTCATGCTTCCGTGTGACGGCCGCGTCCAAAGCAGTCCTTTGCGCTGCCTGCACGGTGTCCAAACCCTTTTTTCAAATCAGTCCTTCGAACCCACATGAACCCTTTGCAGCGCAACTTTCCATGCTTAAACAATGCGAGCTTGACAGCCAGAAAGACACCCAAAAATGCCTGTGCATTCTTGATGTCGCTCGCCAGCCGTGAAAGGCGGGGCTCGCTTCGGGCTGACTGGGTCAACTTCGCCAAGCTCTGGGCGGAGGCATTGGGGTGCATCTGGTCGTGCAGGTTGTGCTCTGAGAGGCATCTTTTACAGGTGGTAACTGGACTATCAAAATCTGTTCTTCCCAGAGAATGCCTAAGGCCTTGACGGTCGCAAGCGGATCCGGGACGTCTGAGTTCTCTTGCAGAGAACGCAGAAGGATCTCACAGACAGAGTCCACCGCCTCGGCTCAGGCATCTCAAGCACGGAATTCCACCTCTTCCTTTCGCTTCTCCCGTCTGGCCTGCTGGCTTAAAAGGCTGGGCGAGATCGCTATTGGCGCGGAGTCGAGATCCGACAGCTTCTCAATCAGGTTGGCGAACTCCTCGAGGGAGCAGGCACATTCGCTGCATTTTCTCAGAGGAACTCGCTACAGAGATCCTCAAGGTGCACAGATTCCGCTGTAGAAAACATCCACGTTGAGTTTCTACTTTCCATGTCTCAGAAGAAAAGTAAGATCATGAAGCAGCGCTTGAAACATACGCCACTCCACACTGCGTTACCCAACTTCCTCCAATGCCTGGTCTGAGTGCTGCTGGTCGAGGAGACCTGAAACAAAGGAGCAAGTGCCTTTCAGTGCTGTGTCGCAGCTGCTTTAATGCGTGGACCATTGTCCTGCGGAAGATGGTTGCCAGCTAGTACATTTCTCCTACGGTAGTTACCACAAGCAAAATGCATCCAAGCTGCTTGCAAGTTGCGTGTTCTCAGAGACTCTCAGAAACCTGCAAGTAAGACAGTGCCGAAAGCCGCAAGCACTGTTGATGTTGGAATGTGCCCCGGGTCCCGCATCATGTATAGGTAACCTGCACTCCGCGAGCCTAGGCTCGGGCCTCTGAAGACAAGGCACAACATCTCGGCGATCTCCAGAACGGCTTCCTCGCCTTTTGCCACCTGAGCCAAGAGTCAATCCAGTCGTCTCCCAGAAGTAGCATCTGTTCAACGCAATTGGCCAGGCATTGGGGCCACACATGCCGAGTACGAGTGGCACAGTCTTCCCTCAAACAGAAAGGAATGCTGGAATGCAACGAAACAATGTCTTCACTGGCCTTGCTGGATGGCTCCGTCATGGCCTGGGCTGCACTCGATCCACGGCTTAAAGCAATGCGTGCAGCGTGCATGAGGCCCTTTAAGAAGGAAGGCCGCAAAACCGCCAACTCTTCTTCCACGCCCATGAAGTTCTCAAGAAACACAGCCGTTTAAGCGGAGAAGCTGCCTGCTTTGAGGCCAAGAGGGCCGTCGGCACGGCGGGGCCGGAGTCTCTAGACTCTAGACTCTCTCTAGAGGCTGCAAGCCAGATTGAACTCACTAGTGGGTTGAAGCTACCTGGACCGAGTTTCCCTTGATCACCTGTCACTTGTCCGTGTTGTTGTGGGCTTTCTGGCATCTTCGTCCCCGCTTACAGCGTGCTGGAGATATTCAGTGGGATCATGCCGGCCCGAGGCGCAGAGGCCTTGACTTTCATCAACAGGCCCCTCTGTTAGAAAGTCGGCACTGAAAAGCCAGAACAGCCGTGGGGAGGGCAGCAGTACAAGGCTTCATCATTCTTTAAAGCTTCATCCCGGCAATCAGAAGCTACACACTTCTGTGCGATGCATGACGGAGTCAACTTTGCAACAATGCACATGTGTGCGTAAACATGATGCCGACAGCACAAAAAGGCCTTGTGATCCCACCGGGCATGAGCTTCTCAGCAAGACAACAGCATCCCACGAGCCTGCGTTATCTCGCTAAGCCGCTCCGACAGCACTCCTCGACGGGACTCGGAGCTGGTCTATGGTTGCGGCGACGGTTTCAAAGCCCAACATCACTATCTTGAAAAGCCAGCTTCTATGGGGATTGAGATGATGATTATCTTGCCTTCCATCGGCTCTTCATGGGAGACCTGAGCTTCAAGCACCCCCCGGCAACTTTGTTGATCCAATGGTGCAAAACCGGGTGCCCCCACATTCCAGCGCCGAAGAACGTCCGACATCTTTGCGCATTGCCGCAGTAATGGCGGTAACAACCTCCCGACATTCGAACAAACTTTGCCCTTGTTTTGCTAAATTTCCCCGTCGCACTGTCCCGCGACTAATCAAAGGCCCTGGCAGACTATCGGCTGTGCAGCGACTGCTTTCCCACTGATCTGCACAAGAGCTCCCTGCACAGGCAGGAGCACCAACGCGTGCCATGTTGTGCTACAGAGAATCAACCCACATCAAGCCACCGCTGCTGACTCTTTTGCGTTCGAGTCCGAGCCTGCCAGGCATCTCACTGAGAGAGCTTGCGGTCACAGAACTGTTGCTGAGACCGAATTAGCACTGGATCCTCGCCCAGTGTCGTGGCTGTAGTATACAAATCACGCAACGTGCGTGGCCTTGAAGCCGGGCTGTCTGTCATTGTTCATGCCCTCTGCTCCTAGTCATAGTCCTTGTACATACACTTTAAATTCGTGTCGTGCCAGAACGACTGCTGCTCTTCAAAAGAATTATCTGCATCAAAGAGCCCGGCTGTCTTGCCCACAGTCGCATCGGTTCATTCTGAATTTGCGAAAGCATTGGCTGCAAAAGGCAATTAGTCAGGCTCTCATGCCTCAACTTCTGTCAGCTCCTTCATGGGTGCATGTGCGAACGATGGCGTCTGTGCATTGCCATCGTTTCGGCCACCTCCGACTGCGAAATCAGTGCTGAACTTGAAGTACTTGGGCAGCAGGCACTTGAGCCCGTGCGTGCTGCAGCACATGTTCGGAGCCACTCTGTGATTGTAGGTGTAGCCGCTTGGGAAGAGGGAGCACTTCTTGTAGCAAAGACCATCGAAGAGCTCCTCGTCAGTCAAACAGGCGCCCTCGAAGTTGGGACAGCCTTTGCCTTCCTGGTCTCCTGCCACATCGAAGCCAGAGCAGAAGCTCAAATGAACCCGTGTGTTTTGAAAACCACAGGGCTCGGCCTCACAGCAGGAGAAGGGGCTTGTCCTGATTGGAAAGTACCCACCTGTAAGATCGACGCACTTCTTGTAGCAAGTTCCCATCATCTCCTCTTCGTCGCTGGCGCACTTGTTACCATCATTTAACGATTCCAAGGGAGCAAGTTCACTGTGCAAAGGCATTTGGCTCACGTTCCCTGCGAGCTGAGGCAGCTTCGGACTGGGAGTCGTGGAAGTAATCCTTTTCTTGGCCGTCGCCATACCAGATAGGAAGTGAGCAACTCTTTTGAGGGAGTGGTGTTCTGCGCTATCCGGATCCAGCTTTGATGCCTCATTCATAAACTCTTTGGCCACATCATCCATCTTCGAAATGCGGTCTGCATCTGTTGCGTTGCTTACAGGAGCTCTCTGAGTTTCCTCCTGAGGATTTGTAGAGATGATGAGACCGGGCCGCGGAGCTTGGGTTTGCGCCATTGCGGTCGTAGTGCGCGCTGAGCTGGAGCTGGAAGAGCTGGCGCTGGAAGAGCTGCTGTGAGAGCTGCTGGAAGAGCTGCTGTGAGAGCTGGGAACGCTGGAAGTTGTGGCAACAGCTGCTGCAGTGGTCTCCACAGTCTCCGCTGTGGTCGTCTTGGATGCCTTGTGGGATGCGGAGCTCGCGTACTGCTGGTACGCCTTGTGCCCGAGGACTTCCTTCCAAATGGAATCGTCTTGTAGCTGGACCTTATGTTCCACACCTGCTTTCAAGCCAGGACTGGTACCATGAGCCAGAAATGAAACTGTAAGCACCAAGCTCAAGAGAAAGGCAGCCGCCAAACACTGCCATCCACACGTCCGCTCTTGCCGAGTAGGCTGCGAAGTGAGCAGCCCGTGACTTTCTAAATCCGTGGCACCCTGGTCCTGATCGACTGTCCCGGTGTAGGCGTACATGCCGCGCACCAAATCGCAGTAGAAACAGCTATGTGAGAGTCTCGAGAAGCCCGATGCTGAGGAAAAGAACATACTTCGACAACGACGAGCATGCGAAGATGAACGCATCACCCAACGAGCCAAGGCACAATGCGGCTCTCTCCGGTCGGTGGGCCTTCAACCTCACACTTCTCGAGCAAGTCGTCGGCCTGGGACAGAAACACCAACACAAGTACCTGCAGATACCAGGGGTATCCTGCATCCTGACGGTAGCGCTGCCTGTGCCGCAGTGCTACACTGACTGAGGTTTAGGCCGGTGCCGGCCATGTTTGTGGCGACAACCATCTTGAGCCAGACCGCCTCACTGACTCATAAACATGCAAACGCAGGAACTTGAACTTGCCCGTGAGAGTTGATACAAGTATGCATGTTGTGCTCAAAATTTGGACAGGCAAGATGAAGCAGGGAACTTGCAACTACTCGTAGCAACTTGTAGATACTCAGTGCCTAGCTTGGCGACCTGCAAGAACTCAAAGGCGGCCGTCCGACACGTGACCTTTTCCTGCACAACATCTCTGGACAGATGCAGGGGTTTCTTCAAAATCTTGCCACCAAAAGAAGACTCATCCTGGACCATGGACACGGCCGTGTCGCCCAGCTGTGCAAAAACCTGAAAGTAACTCTGGCAGCACTTCGCGGGACAAGATTGGACTTAAATAGGAAGCACCTGGGCTCCAGGCATACGTAATCGTAAGAAACCCAAACCGCCTGCCAGTGCCTTCCATTCTGCCGCCTCACAGCCGACAAACCAAAGGATGCGACAAGCCGGCAGAAGCAAGATGTTGAAACCCCAAGCGCAAGGATCCCATTAAGTGCACAAGTCCACCGAAGGACAACGACGGCGCCTTCATTCGACGAGCCTCGACTGGCAGCAGCATCGCTACAAGCAACCAGCAAGGTCGTGTACAACCAATAATTACTCTCGCAAGCCAGTGCAGGCGGTCTTTACAGCTCTAAAACTGATGAAGATGTAGGTTGCAATACGTCAGTGCTGATCACGCTCACCACTAAGCCGCAGCCGAAGTCCACCGACCAACACGCCATGTTGATCACCAGCTGTCTCGATCTACGACCTGCTTGATGCAGCCTCGATTTACTACCTCCTGTTTCGCTGGTGGAGCAAGTCACGGAATCTCTCGATTCGCAGCGAAGAAAACAACCGAAAACGCACCGCTACACGGTAATGGGATGAACTCCCTACCGCTCGGATCTTCATGACTCGTAGACGTTCAGACGTGCACCTGCTGTGGAATTCCACAATTCAACTGGTGTCCTGCAGGACCAGGCTGTAGCCCGAGCTTTGAGGCATACTCCACCAGATCCTGCAGCTGACGGAATCAGGGTTTTCAGAGAATTGATGCTTGTCTACTCTGCCGGTCAACTCTTGTGTGTACCGCGCAAGCACCCTTCCTGAGCCCCGGGCTGAAATGCAAGGATGGCACTGCAGGCCTACCACAAAAAGGGAATGTGCTGTCAGGTGGTGTGTTTGCGAGCAACTGGCAAGGCAAGCAACCGGGTCGAGACGAAGGCCGTACTCAGCAAAGCAAGATCCCTTGTGCAAGTCGGTGACGCATTCTATTCTGTTCAATTCTCGAATGCGCTTTTCTTGTTGGCACCCTGTGTTTTGAAATTAAGGTGATGCCTTGTTCTATGTTCTACGCAATGTGCAGAAAACGTCCCCGATGTGAGGAAGGTGAAAATGCACGCCTCGAGAACTCCAATCCAATCCTTTTACTGGGCATGCAAGAACCCCATGTTGCCACCTGGTGCCACCACATTGCTTGGGGAACTAAATCTAGCTAGACACAGAACTACGGAAACAAATCCCTCTATCTCGTATTTTGTTCAAGCATTTCCCAGAGCCACCGAGTGCGGGCCTCCCAAAGCAAACATGTCCTTCCAACTCTTGCCATTGGGCCCTAGCTCCAATCAAAGGGTTTTGCATATCAACCCTAAACCCTAACCCCGAGAAGTCAGGAGCCGAGAAGACGCGAAGCCACAAATGACAAAAGTGTAAGCCACACGCCCTCCGAGGGAGGAAAACGAAGAAGCCAAAAGCCACGAAGCAAGGCGAACCATGGTGGCTTGACGAGTTTGCACATCGTTTTCTAGGAGGGGCACTGCTCTAGGCTGGATCTGCAAAGAAGCACCTCTATAATCCAGGTAACTAAGGCTCCACCACGTCACCTTGACAATCTGAGGTACTTACACGGTGCACGGCTCGCGGACATCATAATATTCCGTTTTGTATTGCCAAAATGTTGCAGTCACTGGGCCTGAAAGACGCCTGCTCCAAAGGTGAAGAAGGATTCGGCACAAAGAGTGCCCTTGGCCTGGCTCACTCACTACCAGCACCACAACTTCAGGCGGCTGAAACATCGCAACACGCTGTTTCAACGGCATCATGGCCATCACCTGGTCCGAGCACTCCCACTATTCTCGAGCGACTTTCGCTAACCCGCCCAAAACCACGAAGTGTTCGAAGTGTTCATTGGAACGCATTAGTTCGCGCAACACTCTTGAAACAACAGCCTTTAGCACGCAATTAAGAGGGCGAGTCCCTTCATAAACTGCTCGCAACCCTGCCCTGCCGCCATCACGGACTCGAAGCACTCTGGATAAGCCTTCCAGGTTGATGGCACCGGCGAGCCCCTTGCAGGAAAGATAATGCTGGGTCCAAGGCCACCAGAACCATTAAGAAGTCAAAGAATGCCTTGCAAGTAAGGCATTGGCCGTCGCAAAGCCAGCAGTCATGACAGGACTCAAAAGCTCAAAGCAGGCTCGGTGCACAGGCTTGTCGCTGCGCGCGTGACTAGCCGTTGGCATCCGGGCATCACACGTTAACGGCCGCCAGGAGCACGAAGGGGATAAGGCAGGTGGTACCTTCCAGCTTGCGACTTGAGAAGTTGGAGCATCCGAAGACAAAAAACGTTCAAAGTTGCTTCCAACACCCGAGGCTAAGAGCACACACGACTAATTACTTGCTGCAGGAAGCAGGCTTCCAAACACATAGCTCTGGATTTTGAGCTAGGTTGAGCTGCTGCGTACACCCCAGCAAGGACGGCGACAACAACAACAACAAGAACAACAACAAAACGCACGCAATGCTTTAGAACGCGGCACGTGATGAAGTATGTCTGAATAGCACTTCGCGCAAACGGCTGTTTTCACATCCGAACCACTGAACCACATGACATCTCTTGATTGCTTTGCGCCGTCGACAACGCAGCGTGTTTCACGAGTCAGTTTTCTCAAGTCACAAGCCACGCGAGACTCCGTGCAACACAAGTTTCACCATGTGCAGCAAGCTTGGGAACTCCTACTTCAGGAAAACCGACCCTCGATAGCGCCTGTTTGAACGGGACCATTTTCAAGTTCTTGTTGACCCTGCTCCTCTTCACTAGAACCTTGGAAGGCTTCCGAGGTGCAAGTGTTCAACGGAAGAAACATCGGAGCTCCACTCCACTACACTTGCTGCTATGGCGAGAGCATGTATCCTCAGTCCAGCTGCACCCAATGCACCGTAGGAGACACAGCACTTGCCCGACGCCTTCACTATCACCATCATGTCCAACCATGCCATACAAAGACTACAAGCACTTGGATAATTAAGGCGCGACGTGTGACGAGGCTAGCACCGCAACAGCGAAACAGCTGGTTTTGGAAGAGCCAGACCTCAACATTGGCACAAATCGTTGCCTCTGGCTGATGCCCTGTCATCTCGTAAGGCGACCACGCCAAGGATGCCTGGAACCAAGTCGTTTTCAGCACCGAGTTGGCAGCCCTCCTCCCACCTTGCCAGAAGCGTCAAAGCCCCTTGACAGTGACGGTGAGTGGCTGGCGACTTCAAAAAGAGTAACGTTCGGCTGCAATCTTGCATGGCCACCGCTGCAAGCACAGAAGCCTACGAGCAGATTAGCGACCCTGGTACCTTCCAATTGCCGCGACCCAGACGCCGAAGATGCTGAACGCCAAATAGCGAAATTTGTGGTGAGACTCCTCTGAAGTCAAGCTTCAGGGACGGGCGTCCAAACCGCCCATCAAGCAACTCGAGAAATACCTTGTAAACCTAAATTTGCAGCTGTCTGGCAGCGTTGCTCATCCCGCCGCTCCTGAGATAAGTCCAACCAGGGAAGCGTGTCCTTAGCACGTCCAGAGAAAAGCGCAACCTCATTAACCCAACAATAGTCTGATTACACATGAGGAGCCGTCCATGCAACTTCTGAATACTTGGCAGACTTGGCTTGCTCATCTGCAGCCGCAGCCGGTGTCGACGAGGCCTCCTGAGACCAGCCCGAGCGCGCGCTGAGACAGAGGTGGGGGTGGGTCGCCAGGCAGGACTCCAAAACTATGTCACCATGTCCACGGACAGGCCTCTTCGAGTAGATGATTGACATGTGCGGTCACAGTTTCTGTCCCACCGCTTGACATCGATCTGAAACCAACGATCTGGTGGCGGGCTGTGAAACTGCAATTTGCGTCCGCTCCCAATGAACATGGGTTGTTGAAAACTGAGCATCTGGTCTGAAGCTTCGTTAAGGTTCTGCGTCCGCTCCCCATGAACATGGGCTGTTGAAAACTGAGCATCTGGTCTGAAGCTTCGTTAAGGTTCTGCGTCCGCTCCCTATGAAGATGGGTTGTTGAAAACTGAGCATCTGGTCTGAAGCTTCGTTAAGGATGGAAAATGGTGATGGGTCGAATGGGCAGGAGCTGGCTATGCTTGGCAAACCAAATTCCAGCAATCCTGACCCGTGGACGCTTTCGCGGCTATGCTTCTTCTGCTACACCTTGTGGCAGCAGGACTTGACTTGCCCGAAGCAAGTGACGTGTGCACCGATGCCATGTCAACCAAGGCTATGTGCAGTCAAAGGGTAAGTCTCCAAGCTTTTGTTTGGCACCAATGCCCAAATGACTGCCCGCACGCATCTTACGCATGTGCTATCAGACAAGAAGCAGCTGCATGATGACTTGCTATTACTGACTCTCGTCGCTACTCCCCCCTTTGCAGCGGTTCCTGAACGCGGCCCAACTCGGCTCTTCAAAAACATGCGAGCTGCTCGGCACATACACACACACAAGCGTATGAACGCATGCATGCACAACGAGCTACCTATCTATATGTCTGTATCTATTATTTAATAATCCGTCTGTCCATCCAGCCATCCATCCATCCATTAAAAACAAATGCAACCATGTACGTGTCATGTACGGATTAAATATTTGCTGTGGGTACTTGCAAGCATACACACAGAGGTATGATGACATACATGCAACATACGTGAGTTCTATGCATACATGTGCGCATACGTACATACATGCGTTCATACATGAACGCATGACATGCAGATATGCAAACAGACATACAACTGTACATTGAGATGATTTCTTCATTCGGCCAGTCAGGCGCAAGCATGTTTGCATGAAAGCACTAGTGATACACGTACAGCTACAAACAACGCCATGCGTGTGCATGCCGGCATGCTTGCCAAATGCGTGAAAGATGTAACTGATATAACACAGCTTGAACGCTAGGGCATGGCAGGAACCTACAACAGGCAACAATTGCAAAGACTGAATGCGGGGGGTGCTGGCCACTGTGGCCTTCGCATTAACATATTACCGGAAGTGAAAGATTGGTGAGACTGTTCACAAACGGCAGGTGCATTAACGGCAACATGCGGATCAAATGTAACCTAGCACGAGCTCCGCAGTGCCAACGTGCCAGAACCTACTCACAGCAGAAGCACCTTCCAGTGTAGTGCTGCTCACTGCGAGGAATCGGAATTTACCTCGGATTCTTATCACCCTCTCGCTTTACTTCAGGCAATTACCGTAGCTCAGGCAGCCCCATAGTCGCAGATGCCGCATGTTGCAAAGACTTACAGGACCTGTCTGCCATGTTGCTGAGCTTCTGCTTTCCTGGCACCGATTTTGAGCTTTAGCCATTAGTCCTTCACAGCCTTCCCTGCATTAAACGAAAACTGAACACATGACTTGGGTTTCCTACGGTTTCTTCCTTACTGGACGAGCAGCAGAAACGGAGCTGGAGCCATCCCTCCGACCACCTTTGTCTCTCTTCTTCTCTATCCTCCTCCTCAGGTAGCACTGGTGCAGCAATTCACGGCATTTTCCAAGCTGCAAAAACAACCCACGAACAGTCCGCAAATGGAGCCACCGAAACCAGTGATGGCTCCCCTTTTGCTGCATTTCAGAGCCCGCAGCAGTTTATGTGAAAAAGACATTCTCATCTGGCTGGGCTGCATGGCTTTTTTCCAGATCTTCGTCAGATTGTCAAGCCTTGGCTGTGAAAATGCTTGCACTAGTCAAAGCTGCCAGGAGTCGACTTCGACATCGAGCTGCCGGGCAACCTCTCTGCCAAGCTTCCGGATGCATCCTCCTCGTCTTCCTTGCTTGCAGGGAAGACACAGGTGGAAGCGACAGCAACTGAGAGCAAACTAACCAGCTACGTGACAGGCCATGGCATCTTAGGAGAGGTGGACCCACCGAAGCGCATGATGGAGTCCTGCCATTGCGACGACAACGATGCACCATGCCCCTTTAAGCTCTCAGTGGATGGGCTGCAGCACCGAAAACGACCTGCGGATATTTCAATAGGCTGTCGTGAACTTTCATGACACTCCAAGCTCGGCTCGAGGGTCCAAAGCCTACTCCCTCTGTGAAGACCCCTTAGCTCATCAACACCAGAAGGTAAATTTCTTACTCCCCACATTGAGCCTCAACAATGAGCCTGTCTATTCTCCATGATACCAGATACAAAAACATAGCATAGGCATAGTGACCAGGAGTTTGCTAGGTATACCGGTGTGACACTGGGGTTGGGGCCAGTGCTCTCGACCAAGCATGCCCATGTATTCAGGATAATCACAGAATCCGTGCGGTCCTGGTTGGTCGGGTTCAAATTGCCGGGCTCCAAGATTTGAATGCAACCTGGCAGCCCAACATCACCTGAAAGACATCAAACGGCAATCTCGGGGAAAAACGGTAACAACTGATGAAAGAACCGCATCTCATGAGGATCACCTGCATTTGCAGCATGGGTTTGCCTTACTGTCACTGATCTGCCGACTGACAGCCGGCTCTTGTATGAATTTCTTGAGACAGAAGCGGATGCATCCTCTCATCCTGATTGTTTCGTCCGGTTACGGGAGTGGTCTTGCGGCTCAAGCACTGAATCGATTGTCAGAGATCCCAATTCACAAACAAGGCTAGTCTCTGAGAAATACTTTGGCAGCAAAAAGGTCGTGAGAACATTTGGCAGCAATCGACTCTTCGACTATTGAAGATGTGCGGCTAGCAGCACATGTTGTGGAAGGGCGGGTGCGACTGTGGGGTGCAGATATACTGTGTAATTCAGACATGTCGGGGAAGCAACTTGATCATGGTTACTGCAAACATCCACCATTGTTGTCCGTGGTTGCCCCCTGTGCTTCTTTCATCTCGACTTTCTTGTTGGATGATGTTATCATTGTTTCACTTGTGCCAGCCTCCTATGATGCTATGTGCTGTCCAGCAACCTTCGCCGAACTCCATGCGCTCGTCTAGCCTCAACGCCTCCACAAAGCGTCGGAAGCGAGAGCGGCGGACAGCAGGCATTGAGTCACATATGATTGCCATCCTCGGCTTGGGGAGCGAGAAGCAGCTGGCCACAGCAGCGTTGCATCAGAAATCACAGGTATCTGACAATACTTGGCATCCTTGATTATCAGGACTCCGATTCAGCCGCGCCAGGCCCAGCATTCTGTCATACAGCGAGGAGTATGCCCCAATGATCTGCGCGATCAAGACGTTGGAGAGGAAAATAACAACCTTGTGGCAAGAGCCAACAGGAGGCAAGTCCTGCCACGGAGCAACCACGTGTAGCGCGTGCATTCATGACATGCGGCCAAGGGGCCAACACTGTAAATCCGACACACATCACCATAATCCAGCGTGACTCTTTGAGGCTGTGAAAGTTCTCCGCTGGATACATGCCGATGCTGATCTGAAAAAAACTGAGCGCCGACTGCGCTATGTTTGAGAAATCAGAACTTTTCTCGCTGGAAGCCGACGTGGCGCACCCGAACACCAGTATCAAGTAGAACACGGCCCCCAGCATGAGAACCTGACACATCACACATTCCACCCAGCAATTGGAATTCGAAGCGCCGTTGTCTTAAAAGGCCAACAGTTCGAGCTAGTTGCAACTCAGTAGTTGCCTGTGACTACACCACACCGCAAGCTCGTCATGCCATGGTGCCAATTCTGGAAGCACCTGTCCCGAGATCATGACGAAGGCAGAGCAGCGAACGAAAAGCGCACCTGCAAAACAAGGCACAACTTAACTCGGTTGACTGCAGCCTCTGTTTCACGAGCTGCTTTCGATATCTTTGATTTCATCGAGGCACTGAAATCAACCAACAGCGCGAAGTAGCAAAACATGGCCAGCATGGACAAGAATGCATAGACATCACGGACATCTCTTGCTGCAGGACCTGAGCATGACAGTCGCGACCAAGAACCGAAGATGAAGGGCACGGTTTGGGCAACGGGGACAACCTTGATACTTTCAGCCAGGCTATCCCCGAAAGCACTGGCAACGCAGGGAGAACGGCATGTCAGGAACGACGTGATGCGGAGACGGGCTGGCGTTGAGAATTTTTTTTTTGCTCCATGGCCAGAGAGCCTGTGCAGGGCTGCCATCGACCTCGGAACTCCAACCTGGCTCCTTCGGGGCTCTCGTTGGACAGTGGAAGTAAACTCAGTAGACCGAAAAAAGTTTGCACCAGCACTCCCGTCTCAAAGATAGCATTCCCAGGACACTGTAAAAATCCGATCTTGGTAGTCTCCGCTCCGCACACTTCCACTTGTGAAAACTCTGTGGGTTGGCTTGCCCGGCCACTGTACACACAACCTCAGCACAGCATCACGGAAGGAAATAAATGCAGCAGCACATGTTGCAGCCCACCAAAGTGCAGACATTGTCCCGCTGCTGCAGGATCTGACGCCAGTCTTACTCTCACTACATGCAGCCAGGCAACTTCTAGCTGAGAAAGGTCCGAGGTTGCCATTGAAAGACCCATGGCTGTAAAACACTGCCGCAATTAGCAGTGCACAAAGATTTCTTCAAGCATGCGTTCAGAACATGCGTGATGCCACTACGAGAATAGACTAATGGAGGCCCACAAATTCTGGAATCTTGCGTGGAACCAGCAATAGCGTGATTAGCTGAGCTTGCGCTAGGCTAGGCATGGACGTGACTCGAGGGGCTTTACAGGCACTACACTACGCCGTCGTCACGGTCATCTTGTCCAACTCGGCCTTCAGGGCTCTTAGTTTTTGGCGAACTGAAGAGGCGGGAGCGGCCCTCGCATTGGGAGAGCATTGTCGCGCTTTCTCGAATGCATACACTTGAGGGTACACTTCAGGCACATGCCGGGCAAACGGCCTTGCGACCTGCATCCAGGTGGTTTACTTTACGGAACTCGGGAATCCGAATCCGGGCCTCTAGAAGCTCTTGACCCATTCGAAGACGGGCATAGTCAAACGACGCATCCCGCAGGACGAACACTCGCTCGCCGTTTGACTCCGTCCTCTGCTAGCATCTGCTAGCCAAACCCAGAGCATAAAATGCTAATGGTTGAGCTCCGAGCTACTGCGTGCGAACACGTGAGAACATGCGTTTTACGTGCCGAGTAGCATCGGCTCAAAGCCAAGCATTGTCATCAAAGCTTCGGCTCTCTCCCCACCAGCAGTTATCAGCCTGGCTGGGAACGGTGCGATGGTTACATGGCCGGCTGCAGAAACGGAAGGCCTGGATGGCCTGGTGATGCTAAGCCCTGCAGATTTACCCCACACAATCGCACCCCGTTTTTCGCCCTGCAGAGTTGCCTGACACAATCGCTCCCAGTTTGTAGAATGCTGGCTCCCGCCTGGAACGGATTGCTGGATTCTCAGTCCGGATTCTTCGGAACCTCAGATCTTCATTGACTGATTGCAGGAAAACCCTCTTACAAAGGTTCTCTGTCAAGCAAGAAATTCGTAAGGGGTGCGAACAATGGGTGGGCTGTTCGATGGCCGGCTTCGCTCAGCAAGCACATTTCGAAGACCTGGCTTCTTTAAACATTGCTGATAGTATGCGTTTCCAAGCAGTTGAGGGAGCCAAAAGAACTGTGAAAACATGCATCATTATGCCCCTAACAATAGAATGTAGCTGGACAAGCTTCGGACGCATGATGCCGAGCTGCTTCTGCTCATCTGGGCTTTTCACGACATTTCTCACCAGTTTCAGGAGAAGCTCCACAGCAGCTGCCTTTGACATCAGGGAGCAGGGAGGCAGCAAAACCGGAAGCAAGTCAACGCATCCTTGAGCACGTTCAGCGCATGGGTCGATCGCACGCGGAAACAGCAAATACGAGCGCTAAAGGGAGCTCAATGAAGAACCTCGCACCTTCGTCGCTTGTTCGGCAGCTAGTCCAGACAGCTTCTCGGAGAAGCGCTTCAGCCACACAGCAGCGCCGTCCAAGCCCTGTCGCTGCAACTACACGTGTCTCGACCGAGATGCCGCAGTTGCTTTAGACCAGAAAGGCACGATTAAGAATCGGCTGCCCTGTAAATCCTGTAACTTGTCAGCTATTCATCCGTCCACGGGCCGAGAAGGCATGTGCAGGACCCGACACTGTATGGACTCTGAAGTATCTTCTTAGAGTCTCTAGAGCATTGACTCTGACGGTGCCTGCAGCTCCAACTCGGAGAGGTCCAGTGGAGGAAGATCCTGATGCAGCCCGAAGCCCGGACCCAGAAATGAGAGGCTTGCGGCTGTCCTCGGCTGGGGCGGCTCGGGTCTGAGCCGGGGCCTTTTCAGAAACTGCCTGCGGAGGCGGATTCGCTGTCGAGGATTCGATCTCCTGCGACAAGGCGCTTCGGAGATTCTGCCCCGTCGAAAAAAATCCTGCTGGAAATCATCCCCTATCCGAAGTGTGCCGAAGTCCTAGGGTCTTAGAGTCACGCAGAGTGTCCAGAATATCCCAACTACTGTAACTGCAGCTTTGAGCACGGCGTGGAAGCCTTGCCTCTCTCTGCTGTGCTGCTTCGGGCTCTATCTCCCTGTCTGCGGCCGTTGTTGGAAGCTCGCCGGCAGTTGGTCCAAACTGCTCCATGTTGCCAGCGTCGTGCTGAGGATCCTGCTCCATCTCAACAGGCCTTGACGAGGAGGAGGCAGCTCCAAAAAGACATGTGGTTGCGCCCTCCACCAATGCACTGATGAGCGCCTCCTTCTCCTCTGTGGACACAGTGTGGGTTTCCCCACAGGGACAGGCAAACATCCATTGCCCGTTCGATGCGAGGAAGTTCGGCACCCAGGGCTTCACAGTCTCTTCGGGGTCTTGCACCTCCCCGGGAAGCTCTGGTTCCGTCTGGCCCATGCGAGCTTCGGCCGCAGCCAATGCTCTGGACCTTCGGTCCGAATCTGTCTGAGCCGCTTCGAGGCTGCTTCCAAGTACACGTCCGAAGCTTCCCTCCTTCCCGGCATTCTCATCACCCTCGAAACCCTGGAACTGGCCAGCAGCATTGCTATCAGCCGCCCTCCCGCCATGACTCCAAAAGCGATGGAAGCGCATGTACTGGGCCTTTAGTTCGCCGAAGAGTTTCCAGAAATTGTTGTCATGTGGACCCCAAACATTGTGCGTCAGCTCATGGATTAATGTATTGATGAGGTCATGGTAGGGCCGGAAACCCTTCAGGGTGTCCGTCCGCAGCCGAAGTACAATCATGCCGCCGTAGTTTTGGTTGTAGCCGAGCAAATCCATGTTCGGTGTGCCGCGCTTGGCCATACGATCTTGTGCTTCTACTGGGCTCATCTCTGTCAGAACACCAACCTTGAACTTTCTGGTCTTCATGATCTCGATGATGCCAGGATCGGTTGACAATTTTTGCAGCAAGCGCTCCGCCTCATACGGAGGGGGCTCCGAGTACTTGAACTCAGCCTGCATGGTCGCAACAGTTGAAGAAGGCCAGCCAATCAGTATAAGTCTTGAGTGAGGGTTCACAGGTGTTGCACACGATGGAGTATCGAAGCCGAGAGAAATTGCCGAATAACCCAGCCTATGAATCAGAACAGAGATGCGCCTTGATCGAGCCAAAATTAAACTCCGAGTCTTGCTTCGTGCCCCAGGCAGAGAGAGCAGCTCGCGCCCGCTTGCGTCGGCTTTGCTCGTCTCTTTCCTCCTCGGCAAAGCCTTTCCTTGGAAACTCATGACGAGCAAACATTCGAAGAGAGATTCTTCACAAAGCAGGTCTGTACATTCCACAGATTAAGGTTGTATAGATAATTGTCGTTACCCTTGCCACTCAAGCAGTTCTGTCTTTCTTTCCGCGTCTTGTTAACGCCATTCCTTGGCTTTTCTGATCAAGACAGCGCTGGCATGCAGGACAGCTTCACCAAAGGGTCAGCCCGGGAAGACTGCACGAACGAGACATCCTTGGCCTTGGAAAGGACGGGGTTGGCAACACTGTAGGCAAACAAGAGCAGCATCGGAGCAATGGTGCAGGTCACGGGCTTTGCCTACAGCAAGCCAGCAACATGCAAGAACTTGATGTGCACATGCGGACCCAGCGGCAGAGCTCGCCACTAACATAACCTTGCATCCCGCCGCAAGACCAGCTTCCGCCACTGTTTGGCTGTCCTGAGAGCAGCGTTTGTCTTCCATGCGTTTCGTGTTGCCAAGAACTGTTGCTGGCAAGCTTGAGGTTTGGTCCTCACAGTAGCCAGCAAACTCAGCAGCACTATGAAAGGGGCGAAAAACAACAAGAAAAATCGGAGCTCGCGTGTTGGCCTGATTGATACCGTGACCAATGATGGGACTTCGATTCCATTTTGATGGCTTCACTCAGAGACACAACCAGAGCCTCCGGCCACTGTGCACTCATGGTATGGATGCACGGTTCAAGAGTGCACCATACCGAGCCGCATTGTCCGGTCTCAGGACTTTGCCGCGAAAGATCAACTTGCAATTCCTCAGCTGCAGAGGTTCACAGTCTTCGGGATGAGGGTGCGACTGGAGACACCATAACAACGAATGCATGTACAAAGAGAGACGCAGTACATCTTGTCAAACAACCTACGTGCACACAGACCAGCCTGCAAAATTTTCCCAATCAACTTCCAGCAACTCCCTGGGAAAGTCCAATGCCTCCTGGACAAAGTCGAATATAGAAGCAAGCTGGTCGTCACCTTGCACCTGAGATCCAAGTTTCGAACATTTGCTGCAACCGGTGCAAACTGAAAGTCATGACAATCGAAGTTGCAAGCAAGAAGAGTTTCAGGCAGTCAAGGCTGAAGAAAAACTCGACTGTACAAATCAAAGGTGCGGGTACATCATAAGCGGTTCCTCTGTAGGATACCGACACGAAGTAAACGTCGTCTTCCGCTCCATTGACACCCTCACTTCTCGCGGCCTCGATCTCGGCCATGAGGCTCGAAGCGGGTTTTAGCGAATTGGTGTACTTTAACTGCTCTCCTTCCTTGAGCCAAGAGGGAGCACTGCCAAACACAGAGCTTGTGTGGCTGCCTTGCGGCAGGTCCACCCAAGTCTGCGACTGGGCCAAAGATATCCGTGTCCAGACAAGGAAGGCCCAACCCGGCTATTATCGAGGTGCTATGTCACACAGTTAAAGCTGCATGATGCAATGTCGCAGAGCATGCGCAAACATTAATGTATGGCCGGTGGCAGTTCTGCGTGAAGAGGCCCGCGTCCGGAAAATCACTGTCAGCCTGGAGGCAATACCTGAAGAAGTGGCATCTTGAGCTGCTGGCATGCAATGCAGTGCTCAATACCCTTTGTAAGGTAAGCAATGTGAAGAAAGCGAGCCAAGCAGCAGTACCGGCTCAACCATGAACATGGCAATAAGAATCAAGGTCAGAAGCCAGCTCATAGATTCTTGCCAATCCTGAATCGGGAATCTTCGCAGACATATACCAACCCAGCAACAGCAGAAACAGCGGGCGAATCGCAGCCAGTACTGGGCCATCTTTGCCCGGCTTCGACACGACATAGGCACATCTCGAGTGAAGACAGTGCTGACAGGCTATGGCCCCCGGGCGTGGATTCACAAGTGCGGCTCCTGCTGTTGGGCCTTCTTGGTGCTTCTCTCTTACAGTACAGGACCCCTCCAGCCAGCCTGGAATCACCTGCATGCCACTGCATGCTACGTGCATAGCGCGGGGCGGATCACCAACAACTAGGGCCCAAGCTGTTAACGCAAATGCTATCAAAGACCATAAGCATACCACAACCCCTGAGCTCATTCCATCACACATCGAAAGCGGTATCAAGCGTCTGTGATCACCTTCGAGGGCACAGGGATCTGGCATCGGCGGACGATCTCCCCATCTCTGATCGCTTTGCAGGTTATTCTCGTGCGGGAGTAGATTAGCCTCAGCTCCATGTTCTGGGAGCTGTAGCCAATGCCCAAAGCAACCTTCCACACCAAGCGGCTCCAGCATGCTGGCAAAATAAACGAAAGCTCGACAGACCGCAGTCCTTAGTGTAGGCCCGCATGTTCAGATTCTCGAATCGGTGCCGGAACATGCACAACATCGGTAGAGGTAATCTGTCCCCAGCATCGCAATCCGCAGTGTGCCCTGTGTTGCCTCATCCTCTGCGTGCCAGGTCTTTAAGATCGACTGGCTCATGAGGAACACCAGCAGTGTAAACAAAAGCCAGACTTTGCTCCGCAGGAATGGACCATATATCACATTGGTCCACACCAGATCCGTCAATGTCTCCTGATTTCAGCAACACACACACACACAGAGCCAATGCGAAGTACCAAACAAAAATCCACGGGTTTTGGCACGTTGCCACCAGGTGTCGAGAACACAGTGCACTACAATCACCGGATCTTGCATCTGGCAGATCCATTGGGTCGCACCGGCAAACTGTCCGTCTGCATCTACCAGCAAGTGCTTGATGAAAAAGTTCACGCGTCTTTGCCCTCCAACCACCACTCGCGATCGCCAGACCAGTTTGTCCAGCAAGACCTCGAGCAAAGTCGGGGCCTCTTTGGTGAGAACCTGTCATCAGTTGATCTGCAAGGAGAATCTCAACAGTTGGAATGTCCGAATCGCAGCTTTGCAGTTCAAGAACCCTAACAGGAAGGAAGCGAGTGCAGGCCTGTACGATATCTGGATGCCGGGAGAACAGGTCATCGTTACCGAAATAGTATCCTTTGCCGGGAAGCACAGAACACTCACCGGGCTAACAGGGATGCGGGGTTGAAGCCACATGCCACCAGTCCAACCGTTGGCCCGGTGCCAACGTCCGCAAACTTCAGGCTGCCGGTCTGATCATCGTTGCCCACACATCCTACCGATAGCCAGGGATGGCTGCAGGCAAGCGGCGGTCGCGATCTGCACGGATCCTTGCATTTACTTGGAAAGAACTTTAGTCTGTCTTCTTCTGCTGGGTAACATGCTTTTCAAAGCTAAAGTGACACACATCCTGCTAGTTGAGAGGTGGAGGCAGCGAGAACTAGACAATGGCATGCAGATTTAGCATAGCGAGGCAAACCTGAGCGAGCACTGCACTTGCTTCCAAGAAATAATGGCAGCTTGTTCAGTCTAGAAGTCCATATCTAATACACGAGGAGACGCAGCAAGCCTGCTCAGCTTCCATCACCCTTGACTCCAAACGAGGAAGCAGCGGTTCACAAGAAACTCTCGTCACAACTAGAGCTGAGCTATCAAGAGGATGCAGGCAGGGCTCGTTAGCAAGTCTTCCAAAATCTCATGTGCCGCCTGCCAAGGGTCGCGCAGATTCGACTCTCACGCTCGGCAACGCCAGGCATGGATTCACAACAACCCGTCCAAACGGCAAGACTGCACCACTTGCTTCGAGGTATCGCCAGCTTCAACCCCAGTTGAAAATTTGCATCACAAAACATCGAGCCGATGCAACATCACAGTCAACATCCCCCGCAAGCGCACAAAATGGCCTGGGTGCTCTCGACAACTCCCTGACTGTCCAGACAAGACATTTGCAAAAGGGGGCAATCTGGTCTAGTAGTGACAATTGGTAACACTAGTCCCTGCGACCAAAATATGGGACGAAACCTCCCGCTGCGTCCCTCCAGAGCCCTTCAGGAGCGCGACATCTTGTTTCCAGCCACTCTGCAGCTCACAGCAGCCACCGCATGTGCCCAATGTCGGTGATTCCGGCGATTATCCAAGAAGCCCACACCAGTGCAGCTGTCGAAGTGGAGACTGATAAGGCCAACTCGGCCAGACGAAAATGCATGCTGGCTTCAACACATTCACTGTTCAGTGGGTGCTCGAGACCGTGGACCACACAGTTCACAGGCTCTGCTTGCTGCAAAAGCCAGGGTGGCGAACAAGAGCCGGTGCAACTCAAGCCTGGCTGGGTGGATTCCATTTCACGATGGAAATTGCACCATGTTCCGCGATTTGGCGACGTGCTCACGGATCATGGAAGCACCCTCAGAGTTACGAAAAATTCCCTTGCATGGGGGACAATGAAGGTAAGAAAATGGTGCTCTTTTTCGCTGCCATAGCTTCTTGTGCTGTCGTGGCTTGGTGCTTTCCCAGCGAGAACACACTTTTTCATTGCTGTCCTGGCGGGGTGCTAATTGGTTTTGCTCTCTTGGCAGGGGTGGGAGCTCAATCTGTCGCTGGCTTGCTTAGTTGTGGGTGCCTGTGGCGGGCAGGCATTGTTTTGCTTTCTTGCTTTTGTTGCTGTCGTCACCGGACAAGTGCTCACTCACTGGCTGGCCCTTCGGGGGCTTCTGCAGCTAAATGTTTTGTTATGCAACAATCGCAAAAAATCGACTGCGCATCACCTCGCCTCCAGATTGCCGCTAGATATCGCCCACAGCAAAGGTGAAATTGACTGGGTGCCGACCTCATTCGCAATTCCATTTATGTCTGTCGACATCCCTACTACAAGCAGCTTGTTTCCCGACTGCACGACTGGCGGAGGAAGAGCCGAACCCCAGGACTGGTTTTGATTGTTCCAAGCAAGGGTCCCGCTTGCAGCTCGGGCTGTTCCACTGCACTGCAGCCACGGAGCCGTAATCTTCAGCATGCACAGAGCACGCTTAGCTCTGGGAACAGGCGTCAACGCCTGGCAAAGAGGAAACGAGACAGGGTGGTACAGTAACACATTGACATGACACAGCTTGCAACTCTATGCCAGTATTGATCATCTTCCGTGCAAATCCTGCGCAGCAGCTCGGTCTCACCTTTTCATAAGCCGGTCCGACCGCAACAGCCCTACAGCACAATCCGTCATCGTACGATCGCAGCGACTAACCCACGAGAAACGGTTACTCCGTGCCGTGCAAGCTCTCATTGGGCCTTCTTGACCATGTTGGCCGAGTTGAGGTTGATGGCCTTCATCACCAACGTGGAGCCCTCGTTGATGGTTCGCACCAGGACCCGAGAGATCAGCCTCAATGGAAGGTCTGGAGAAACTTAGGACGTAAAGGTCAATGAGGGCTGATGTTAAAAACTAGCAGAAAATCCGTAGCAACTGGTGCTTTGGTAGCCTTCCACAACGTGAAACAAGGTCGGGTGATGCCTACAAACTGCACTGCAAGCAAGGAGCCCCAGTGACCAGCCAAAGCCATCGCATAACTTCTCATCGTTTGTAACTTCACGCATGACTTCCACACAGCACTGTACCTCAAGAGCCCCGGGCTTTGAAACTGTGAAGCACTTTGTCAAACTGACTGCAATGGCCTGGCATGCAGGGCAATGGGCTGAAGCTCCGCTTGTAAACGCTCTTGAAAGATCTAAACATGGAGAAATCGATGGCCTGAACAAACAACATCATTGCCGTCAAGAGACAAAGGGGTTGAAAAACTCTGTTGGGATGCCGTAGCCGACCTCAACTGCAACTCAAAAGCGGGACCGTACATCAGGCCTTCAGCGAAGGCGGGTGTTTGATAGGGGGATATAATCTGCCAAAGAAACTCCTCACCCCCAAGCTTCTAGTGCTATTGAGACAGCCAGCGTGGCGCAACCCAAGCGCTGAAATCTCATCCACCATTCCTGAGCTAACTGCAGCTAGTGATCGCTACTGCATCAGCCCGGGCGACGGACTTGAGCTCTGTTACCAGCAATGGACATGTGCCGAGATTCGGCAAGGAAACTGGTACATGGACAGGGTCATCTCAACGACTCTGTCAATGATGAACTGTAGCCTTGTGGAGGATTGCTTGAAGTAGTTCTGCCCCTCTGGAGCCTCGGGCACTGAAAATAGGTGCTGCTGTAGGGCTTTGTGACTGAACCTGCCACTTGCAACAAAACAAACCGAGTGAATGTGGCAAGTCACCACCGCGAAAAACTTTGCATAGATTTTGCGGCTCAGTACGATCTTCGTTTCATCTTCCATCGATCCCACGTACCGGGATACTCTGCGTTCCTTGCCCCCCCCAACATGCAAACTCATGCAGCCGGCACGAACACATTTAGAAGGGAAAGCAGAGGAACATGTGCTCCAAGCATAAGGCAAGGCACCCTCTCGGCTGCTTTGCCCAGCTCTTTGCCCAGAATCTTCTCCACATTGCTCCAAAGCCAGTCCCAAGCTTCCTCGTGCTTAGTGTCCCAGTCCTGACAGGAGCAATGCTGCGATGCTGTCTCCTCATCCTCCTCCTCTTCCAGCCTCAATGTTTTTGCTCTCCAACGTCCGGAAAGCCAAACCGACAAAGTGACGTGTTCACAAAGAAAACAGGACGCGACAAACTCTGCTTCAAGTTTCATCTGCCCAAACAACATCCCGAATCGTCTGACACATTCATAGATGTCCTGCGGCACCAGGGATCGCAAGGAAGCCAGCATAACGGCTTTGAACTCCGTAAGGATGACGACACCTTCGGGTATGTAGTAGTTTTGTGCGCTGATTTAGGCAGACAACCTTAGGGGTTTGAGGTGGCCTCACGATTTTCGAGGCATGAGACCTGCAGGGGACAGCAGGGAGCCCCCGACAAAGAAACAGAACGGGGTAAAGGCTGCTGACTTTAGAGTTGCGCGTGCGCGTGCGAAAATGAGTGTTGTCCAAGATCTAAAAGTCACATTCACAGTTGTTTGGAGGACCCCAAGCCCACAGGATCCTTGCCCACGGTCGACGCAGTCCAGACTTATAAGTTACAAAAGCAACCACCAGTCTGAAAGCTTCACTCGATGCTCGACACCGTGAAGGCTGTTAACAGGCCCACTGAGATATTTTGAGATGTAGACTCTTGGGAAAAACCCGCAGTGATGTCAAAGGCACGGCCTGAGGGGAATGCCAAACAGGAACACAAGCAAACGATTGCAAATGAATCGAGACGGAGATTCCGGGTGACCCTTGTTACGCATACCTCAGAACAGAGCAAATGCCTCAAATGTCCAAGCCTGGCAGCTTGGCAAACCGCAAGGAAAGTACGTCGCATTCTTCCTGCAACATGTAAGGAACTTCGAGTAGAATCTCGGCTGTGGCTTTGAGTTCAGTGCTTCAGAATGCAAACGCGGTGTGAAGTGAGACGGCTGCTCAAACCAGTCTCCTGTAGTCGGAAAGAGTTCGCGACATTCCGTACGATGGCATCAAAGCAGTCCAAAACCTCGTACATCCACTCTCTGTCAGCCATGCCCATGACAGCAGCATTGAAGCGGAACATGTCGTCGAAGCTCGTCGGGACCTCTCACGACAAACAAAAGCAAAGCACGAGGATTATCGGATGAGTGCCAACCAAAACGAGACAGCATGCTTTTCCAAGTCTAGCCACACCCTGCATGCTGATCTTGTTTGGGATCTCGTGCTTGGCTTCCTCCTCTGCAGGAGGCTGGACCTCCGCCATCGACTGCGATGCTTTGTCCTGTGATACTATGTGAGACTCCATCTGCGACGACGTCTGGGAACCAGATCCCCGCGCCTAAGCCGAGCGAAGCGCAGATGTGCGGGGCACAAGCCCCAAATTCCGTTAACTGCTTCTCGGATCAAAATACAATACATACAGAATCACTCCGAGTCTCAGAGTCTGCATGCGCAACATGCTCATCCTCCCAATCGTCATCCTGGACTTGCCCATTAGCACTCGCGGTTCTCCAGCTCGAGGCCAGAATTTGCAACCTTTCCTCCGGTCGATATAAGCGAATGAAATGCAGCAAGCAACTTTCACTCGACGACTCCTCCTTCGATTAATTCGCTCTGCACTCACTAGACGAAGAACTGCACTTCCCTCACGAGCTGCCGCCAAGCTGCCGCGAATGTTTCACGAAGATAGATGCATCCACCACCGGCATAATTCAATGTCTTCCGCAAGCCTTCATAAGCAAGGGTCGTGAAGCGATCGCCCAGCCTCAGCAAACATCTGGCTGCATCAATGCAGGAAACCTGGAGACTTTTGCGCCAGATAATGAGAGGGAACCGCTTTCACCCAATTGCGTCGTCACATAATTCATCAACACCGATCAATCAAGCGCCAAGGCGACAAACTCGGCCTGTGTCGTTCCAAAGTGTTCGGCGCTCACACTGGGAGAAGCTAGGCGAGGTATTTGGTGCGTAGTGGGATGAGGTGAAACACTTCCAAGCATGTTCGAACCTTGGGAAGGCCACAAGAAGTTCCAAAGTGTTTGGGTTGTAGATCGTACAGGTACACTATGGTGTCGGCGCATAATCCGAATCCGACAATCATCCTCCACCGTGCTTTCTGGCAAGCAAAGCAAACACGATTCCACTGTACAGGCGGAAAGTTTTGGCAAGGGCTGGTGGGCGTAGACCGCCTCCGTGATCGTGGCACCTACAGCGCCCCAGGACACGCCTACACGCCTCTCACAAGGCCTTTCGACATCCTTCGTCAATGGTCGCTCAGCAAAAGAGAACAGCAAGCGTGACCCGCCAGCTCGGTGGGGTGGGCTGCCGCCCTTGCAAGAAATAGTTTAGCCACCAGGGCGCCTCCCACTCACCATGCCTAGCGCAGACAGGTATGGGTCCGCTATGGTCCGCTGTGCCGTATCAGGCTGCCGCAAGGCACTTCCGGGGTGGGCCGCGACCGAGACTACTCTCCGGGCGCGAACATGAACGCTCTGGCAATCTGAGCAAGGACGACTAAGTTGACCGAAGAGTCTTCGGGAACATCTTCTGTCCACATCCTGACAGTGGCGGGGATGGCAGTGCCACCGTGCTTCTTGTATGCGTAAGGACACCTGTCGCATTTCGCAGATTTCCCTGACACTTCACCTGCTCGTCTTTGGAATCCGTAGTAGCGTCCACCGAATTGTAAATCTGACTGCTGCCGAAGACACTCTGCAGTGAAGGCTTCCAACAGGGCTTCTCTGACCACCGCTATTCGCGGCGACGTCACCTCAAGTTCGAGGTGCTTGAAACCTGCACAGGAGTTCGTCACGACTCTGCTCCAGCAAGCCAGCAACGATCAAGTCTTTAACTTCACATGACCTATGGCGGTGCCTCGCCTAGAAGTTCTACCAGGGATTTGACTTCCTTGCCATTCGGCAAGGCCATCACAATGCTTTCAATGCCTCCAGCGAACCTGGCAAGAACTCGAGCTCTGCACAAAAAGAAATAAGAAAAAATAAGGATTAGTCATTGACCCTCCCGCCTATGCAGTGTCGGCTGCCGAAGCTGACAAACCTAACCCATGGATCGGGCCTGCCCGACATAACCGCGCGGTTTGTCTTGAACAAATAATGAAGGGATGGAGCGGCATCATAGAAGGCAGCCTTGTCCACCAGAGGTAAGCGTGCGCCAATGGTGAACCCGTGTGCTTCAAATTGTCTAAAGCATGTTAGGCAAAGCTAAACAGCTAACAGGTAAGGTGGCGGAGACCAGAATGCCAGGAGAGAGAGAGAGAGAGAGAGAGAGAGAGAATTGGCGTAGCAGTGTTCAACGCTGCCTTGTGCCTCCTAGGCTAGGTACATGTGGACAATGACAAGTAAACAAAGGCTCATTTCATCCGAAACATGCTACAGCCCCTGCGGCTTTATTGCCAGATCTTGCCGGGGAGCAAAAAGCGTATCGCAGGCAACGTCGCTCGAGCTGAAGGACTCCATGTACATGCCCCACGCATCTTGCAGTTCTCGGGCCTGCAAATCACTGCACATCTTTGGGGTGATTTCTTCTCTGCGCTTTTGCGCCCAATCCGGGATTGCACAAACAGTGGACTGCAGACAACGTGCTGCGGCTTCGTTGTTATTGACCCACGCCTGCCTGCTCTGCATCCATCACAAGCCTCAGTTGATAAAGGGGTGCGAGCTACCACCACAGCAACTCTCAGAAGAGATTGAAAAAGAAAAGAATCACGGGTTGTCAACTGTTGCAGCCGCAAACTCTCCGAACAAGAGTGCGGCTAGAAGCAAGTCCAACCTGTCCGTGACGACCTCGTCACCACTCACCCCGTCACCAACGACAGAGTTTGGTGTAAGGCCACCTGACATTCGCAGAACACATTCAAGGTTGAGCTTGCAAACGTATAAGCCACGCATTGTGGGTTGTCTATCGCAAGAAGTGGGGGCGACATCTCCAAAAAATAGTATGCCAACCAAATCTGGACGATAGGATCCGTCAAGGCTATCTATGTCGTGCCCATCTCCCGAGGTACTCAGTAGTGCACTTGGAGCATTGCAGCGAGTCCAGCCGCCTGCTTGGTCACCCTGAATTTCTGAAAGAAGCCGCTGAATGCGTTCGTCCTGCCAGCTCAATCTCCGCAATTGCAGTAATGCCAAATGAACAGAGTGCTCGCCAGCACGCGAGCTCAGGAACCATCGGGTCTGCTGCTGAAGCACCGGTTATTTCTTATGGATGGTTCTTGACTCAACGTGGGCCGTTGACTGCTGTAGTGTTGCTCTGACACGCTCCTCCAGCAGGTCCGTGCGGAGCAATGACACGGCCTCCTTGAGGACATCTGCCGTGCTGGCGCTTGAGTCCCTGAGACAATCTAACCTTCTACCGTTGAAAGGTCATCTGCACCACACAGAAGCCCAATCATGCGCATCGCATTTGCGAAAACGACTGAACTACAAAATGATGCTTCCAAACACCAAGCCTCTCAGTCAACGCAACGACTAGATCCACGAGCCCGGCGATCGTGCCGTCACTCACGACGTTTGCACCGTCGGACCTGAACATGGCAGTTTACAGTAGCATGTGGCAGCATTTGTCCAATGGAGTGGCGAACAGCTCTCCCCCGAAGGCACAGAAACGAATTTTGATGCACGCTTAGGTGCCACTGTGTGTAGGCATCTTCACCTGCTTCCTCTATGAGGAGCTGCAGCTCCGCGAGAATACCATCCTGTCCATAGCTGAGTTTCTATGCAACACTTCGCAGGCAGATGTCTGGCAAAGTTCGGATGGGATTTAGTTTGTCTTGGTTTGTTCATGCACGTGTGCGTTTGCTTGGTGCCGCTAACCAAGACGCACGCGTCGTAGTCAAAGATTTCGGGGAGACAGTGCCATTCAACAGAGCGGGGATTTTTTTTGCGGATGGAACGAACAAGACCTTGCCGTTGTCCTTGGCAACGTCGGCAAGATACGGTTTCAGCCGTTCTTCCTCAGAGTCAGGTCTGCAATGCTCACAGCGCCTCTGGGGCCCTGGACTGAATCAAAGTGCGATAGTACTGACCAAGCCGCGGCTGCTAGAGCTGCAAACAAGTACTCTGGGATGGTGAAGGCACCCTCCTCTGCATCCTGAGCACAAGAACCTTCAAGAAACTGCCACCCACATCTTCTCCAACTCTGCGAAACTCAGGCCACAATGTGACTGCAAGGCCACGAAGTTGTGAAGCAGAGAACACGAATCAAGGAATTCAGCCCTGGAATGCCCTAGAACTTGAAGCTGCAACAGGACGTCGATAACACACATGAGAAGCAGGGCTGCAAGCTTCCAAATGCAACACACGCACAGAGTGAGTCCCGCCATTACATGAAACTGGAAATGTCAAAACGGTGCTTAAATGCCCGCACCTCATCGGAGGGGGCCGATGCCATGCGAGGCCCCCCACCGTTCGGTGCACACAGGGCCGGGGCATCTCTGCTTTCTGAGCCGACAATCACAAATGCAGACGGATCCCTGCAAACTTGTTCCAGTACAGCTTGGTAATCGAAAACCCCCGATGAGTGCACTAATCGATTTTCCCGCAATCTGCTACCCTTCCCCTTGCAGAAGGGATGCACCCATCCAGCATGGAACAAGGCGACGACACTACACAGCTCTAAGCCAGTAAGCCTGCTCCAGCGCTGGAAGTGGACGCCATGGGAATGCTGGGATGCATGGTAGCCATGCAGCAAATGTGCTCGCTTGTAACATGACACAAGCATCTAACTGCGTTGCTTGAACCCTAAAAGTCCTGACAACCGATGGAATTTACCAAATTGTAGCCGAGGGGTGGGTCTCGAGAACAATGTTGCAGGTTTTGCAAGTGCAGTGGACAGTGAGCCTTAGGCTGAAGCGCACAGTAAGTTGCGCCAGCAAAGGTGGCAACAATGGAAACAATCATGCGCGCACGACGGGGTTCCAGCAGGGCATCCGAACGACGTGCATGTTGGTGCCTGGGGAATACACGTCGCATTGCTACGTGCTACGTACAAGCCGAGAGCTGAAGACATGGTAGAAGTCGCTGACCGAGGGTGGCGATCTGCACTGTACACTATGCCGGAAGGACAAGTCATTGACAGTCTTCTGCATGCAAGGCATCATCTTTGATGCTGGCAGTTTTCTGAGTGATGTGTTTGCAAGCCCCACACTTTGTCTCAATCTTACCTTCGGCACGGACAGCCTTCAGAAAACTGCGATGGAATGCCTGCCCTGGCATTTGCCCGGGATTGAATTAAATCTAAAGCCGACGGTAGCAGAGCACAAATCGTGCCTACTATGTTTTCTACAATGCTGACAGATCTCCTTGTGGAAAGATGATGAGTTCCACCAAAGCTGCACAATAACAATGCTGTAGCACCACGTAAACACCCACGGTCACGAACAATCAAACATGCTGCTGAAGTCCGATTGAACATCGTTCCCCCAAGCAAACGGAGATTTCAAGGTGCAGAGGGTATAGCTGGGATGATCTGAATCTAAGCAGAAGTACCATGCGCGGAGCTGCGTCGTCAAAGCGGTAGGCGGCTTGAACCTGAACCATCGCCTGAGTTGCCACCACTGAGTCATTGACCAGCTACAATGAACTGCTAGAACCTTGTAGGCTTAGTTAGGTCCAAAGACACATTTGAATTGAACGCTGCATGAGTGAACTCTGCGCTTGGCGGGCGCATAACCTGACAGTTTTAAACGTGCAGCAACAGCAACAGCGACAGCAGCAGCAGCAGCAGCAGCGGCAGAAGCGACACCAGCGGCAGCAGCAGGAGCTGCTTGGCACGAGGCTGGAAGACGCGATGACCCAAACGTCCACATCCTTAACAAGGCGTTCCCATCGCTGCTGGCCATGACACAAGGCGAAATGCGGGGACTCGAAGCGACTCTTGAATCTCAGCATCTGGCACTGGGAAGCTCTCCCCAACATCGCTGCAAATTAGAGGATGCCTCCACAATGTCATCGCAAGGCCATGGGGAACACTAGTGTGTGCTTGATGCACTCTTTTTCTTCAACACCCTTTGATCAACACTTCGTTGTCAATAGGCAAAAGTGCCGGGGGCCGATGTGCTTCAAGCAACCCGATTCCTTCACCACAATTCTCGGAGTTGCCAATGAAACGTTTCGATCCACTTTGCTGCAAATGCTACTAGCCTGAAGAAATTCTCAAAACTGGCCCAGGCTGGTTGTTCAAACAAAAAACCTCTGCACTCTCCTGCGACACTGCAACAGGCCTCGCTGTCGAGAGACACACATGAAGACCTGTGATCAAAAACACTAGCTGTCACTAGCTGGCATCTTGGTACAGAAGCGCTCACACTGCAAGAGGCAATGGGGCCGAAGCAAATTCAGTCGCAACTTCGACAGCGCCTCCGACGAGCAACAGATCCAAACAGGGCATTCAGAAAGCTGGACACTGGCCGCACAAGTCTCTACTGAGAACCCCACGGGCAAGTTTCGCAGATGTGCACCGAGCTGCCCCAAGCTCCTGCGGAACCGCACAGCAAAGATTACACAGTGCTCGCCTTGGGGCCACAATCTTCCTGAGAGAAAGGCAGCCGGCCAAGCAAAGCTCGAAGACCTCGAAGATGAATCTGAAAGTGTCTGACCGCAGTGCGCATCACTAGTGGACTAGTGATGCGAAGAGGGTCTGCAGTCTATGTCAACCTCCGTTTTCAAGAAGGGTGAGCTCAGACCCCTGCTGAAATTTCCGTCAACATCTTCAAAGGCCTCGACCGACCGCAGCTGGAAAAAGCAATCTTGGCAGCTACAGCTCGCAGAATTTGTCATGCAGCTATGGCCTCGTCAGTTCCTCAAGGGAGGTGAGCATCGTGCAATCGGCAAAGCAGAGCTGCACGCTGGCCAGTGCCTGCGAATCTTGAGGCATGTCACCACACACAATTACTTCCGATTCAGACCGAAATGCACCCGTCCAATCTGACTACGTAAGTGTGGCCTGCATTTCATCGGAAAGGAGGTCCACAGAGGCCAAGCCTCGGCGGCAGTCCCACGCAGACACATTGAGTCTTGATTTGAGTGCAGTCCAGAGGATTTTCTGACTTTCCGCCATCTTCTCATTGAGCTCTGAGATTGCCACTGCTACAGGCAGTTGTGTCTACCTTGTCGGCAGCCGACATTTAAGATCGTCCCACTGCTGCAGCACAGTCGTCTTCCCAACTATCAGCACACCGCCTTCAGCTCTCTCAAGACGTGTAGGCCCGGCAGACAGCATCCGCCTGCTTCAATCAGTAATTTTCCTAGAGCGCAGCAATCCCGTCTAGTCGATGATTGGCAAGTCTGGTGGGGAACGTGCACCGCCAGCATGAAGACAACGTCATCAAGAGTGCAACCGACAGCAATGCAGTGCTGGCGCAGGCAATGAAGAGCTGCCGGGCATGTTTTAAAGAAACCAGTGGTGGCCTCATAAACGCTTGAGAAATGCCCTCCATATCAATACAACCGGTGTCGTCCAGCGCCTGGGCACTCAGCGGAGCTGCTTCCACCTAGTGGCAGCTTGCACAGGAGAACCTCTCTGCTTGCACTTTGCAGCTACTGTTGCTCAAGCTGCATCTTTTCGGTGGGAGGTTGGGCCCAGAACGTCCACGCCTCCCAAATGCTGTAGGTCGCTGCACTCTGCAAATTTCAACTCGAGAGCCTCGGGCTTCAGAGCAAGCATGAGCAAGCCAGAGTTTCGCTGGGATCGTGAGCGGCCACAGGATGGAGCTTACAGCACTAAGACCTAAAAAGAAAGCTCGAACCACTGCACTGAGATGTCACTGACATCCTGAGGCTGAGGGCAAGGAGCTGTTTCCCGAGACTGCAGAGACTGCGGCAGAGGCTGTCTGCCTTAGCCGCACTTGCCGTTCACATTCCAACAATCGCGCTGCCATCATCATCTGCCACTTGCTGGATTCTAAACCCGAAACGATTTCACACGCTGTGCTGGCACCTGCATGGCCAATACGCCCATGCTGGGGATTTGCATGCAACCCAGCAGAGACCCCGATCTTGGCTGGGCTAGTGCCAGCCACAGATCCGGAAAGCTGCTGTTAGGGCCTTGCTTCCAGCAGGAGCCGTGGAGAGGTTTTGGGGCCAAGTTGGAGAATTAACCGACACGCTCACACCTTTTCGTCGATCACCACGAGATTCCATTAATGTGACATCCCGAAGCCCCTACCTGCAATCGCTAGAATGAAGAGAATGCGACTTGCAAACCTTTGGCAGTCACCTCGACCACTCGAGCTCCTGTGAGACTTTTCACGATTTTGACCGTGCTTTGCCAGGTCCAAATATCTTTAAACATTCCACTCCAGCCTTGCCTTTCTCAGGTGTACAGCCAGCTGGGTGCTCCCTGCAGGCTTTGACATGCTTTGACCGAGGCGATGCTGATCTGATGGATTCTGGGCTGGCAAAGCATCTCTGCATGGCAGCCATGTTGCGAATGGTCAGTAGGACTGCATGGATGACCAACGCTGATACACCATACATGGCACCTGGGAAAATGCTGCGCTGTTCAAGTTTTTTGCTCCGGAGGATAGAATCGAAGTAAACTTGAAACGCTCGTGTGGCCGAGACTTTCGCATCTCGGCAGCGTAAAGGAACAACGAGCGAAGGCACCGAGAAGTGATACCACACGAGCATTGCCCGCCACAGCGGCAGAGATACTGCTTAACAAAGCAAAACGCCTTGACTCCAGGTCCTGCATGCTGACTTCGACTCACTCTTCATGGTAGAATCCAGCAGAGAACCTTAATCTTCGAAGGTTACAAGTTTACCATGCCATGCTTTGCCGATCATCTTTCTTCACTTGTCAGTCTTCGTGTGTCGGAAGGATTCACTTCTTGCACACAGCGAAACAGAGTTGAATTCCAATCTGTCCAACCTTGCAAACGCATCCGTCGAAGTTGTGTTTTTCTTCTGGCATGGTCTGAATGCGGGCATGTGATGGCCGTCCTGCCCCAGCTCATCCATGTGCTTGGTGGCACACTTCCACCCAATCTCACGACCAGCTACCACCTCAATTGTTCACCCCAAAGCTTCCGGCAGGAACCGCGAGTCACTTCTGCAACCAAGACACGAAGTGACCGCACGCAAAAAGAGCAAGCGGTGTCATGACAGCATGTCCAACGAGAGGCTGAACAAGGCCGTGGGAGATATCCTCTTTGCACAACTTGGCAGCATAGAAGATGGAATTAGGCAGCTTGGCCCAAATGGCCTCCTTTATCAGAAATCGTAAGATCCAGAAGCGGCCCAACAAAAGCTCTCCGCCGACAACAGGTCCCCAGTTCAGTGGTATTGGACAAGTGAGCCGGTAAACAGCACGGAGCCAGGCCCTGAAGCCATGGTGAGGATTCTCAATAAGCGTGATGGGACTCAGTGGGCACACCCCTGACAGCGCGCGAACCAGTCGAATGGCCAGGCCCCACCCAATGCGGCCTGACGATAGACCCGCAGCCATACCTTTGTCAAAACTGGTCGGACCCTTCTTGTAGCTAGCATCTGTACATCGCAGCATAACGGCAAGACAGCCATTGCATGTTCTGCCCTGTTGGTAGGCTAACCTCTCCTCTGTAACTGTCGCAACAAGATGCCCATGACAGTGCTGACATGCCGAATCTCTCGCGACTGTTCTGTCCTGGGTTCGTACTCCGGCAGCACCTGAGACCAAAACCAGCAAGGTGCAGTGCTATCCTCCAGTGCTGTACGTTACCTAGCCGACACCGAGACGACAAGCCCGCACGACGAAACGATAAACCGAAATCGTGACTTGCTCAGCAGTGGCAACTTTCTCGTGGATGGCTTGCTAAACTACATGGAGAAGCTACGTAGCAGACGTAGCACATTACCTTGTCCGCAGTACAGAGGGGCATTGTGCACCAGAAGGGCCGTTACCACATCTCATACCATGGCACAAAGGACCGCTTCCCGAATTTTGGAAAGAAGCAGCTTCAAAACCATTGAATAAGGAGGATAAAAATTCTACTTGCTTGTGCCAGAAGACGGAACGCCAAGCAAAGGCCACCGAGTATGCCATTCGAAGACATCCCCGCAGGCAAAGCCCAGGGCCGCAATTGCCCTGCGACTCTGCAGGACCCGAAATTCCAGCTGACAACAACACTCTGGGCTGCCTGCACCAGGTCCCACGTGTCCGCCATGAAGTCGCGTGCCAGCTTTGCAGCACAAGGAGCCGCGGGTGCAGGAGTGGATGGCCAACCATGCGGCACATAGCCTGCAATGAAGTGTTGCCTCCTCTGGCACATGCTCCACCCCGACAGTTAGCATCAAGCAGCAGCAGCTTTATAAGGTGAGCTGCCTGGGTGGGACGCAAGAAACGCTTCCACTTCAGCCCGCACCACACGATTAGGATGTAGCGGCCCTGCAGACAGGGAACAGTCCCAACTCAAGTCGCGAAATTGGGAAAAAAGCCAGGCCTAGGGATAGGCCTGGGGAGGGTACACTCAGCAAACAGGGTCTGTGGGCCTAGATTGGTACAACTCGGGATATGCCAAAGCCCAAAATCCCAACGGCTCCTAAATTCCTAAGGCCCTAAATCACACGAAGGAAGTGACTACCAACAGCACCAATCCAGGGGATGATGTCACAACAACAATGAGAAAATATAAAAGCAGCGGCTGCACAGTTTCGCATCTGGTAGCTGTTATAGCTGCCACTTAACGATTTAAGAATTTATTTGAGCTTCCCTCTTGCCGCCATTCAGCGATGCATGTTGTAGCCAATGTGCAGCTACCGATAGCTACGAACAGTTTCAGGACCTATCCACCTACATGCAAACCCGGTATGAAATACTAATACTAGGTTACTATGTTGACTGCTTGCTACTACTTCGTCGCGCCGCAATAGTTCCAATTCAGCTACTATTTTACTGTTGTTAACAATCAGCTAGCTGCTATTTAACTGCCGTTTAGCTACAACAGGCAGCCAGCCGGGTAAATACCAGTTAATCACGAACTCAACAAACCTCAACGACAGCCCAGCAGCCGAAAAAATACTTCCCTGCCTCTCACTAGCAGCTAGCTAGCGGTAGCTGCTGAGTTCAACAGCAAAAACTGACCTCTCAACTGTAAAATATCTTTCAAGCTGAACTATACTCAAAACATGTTTACCGTTTGTCTGCTTTGCCAGCCAGCATACTTACACGATCCCATCCAAGACCATGACCCAGGTTCCAGGAGGTCGTTCCCTATTGTCGGAGATTCCGTGTGCAAGATTGAGCAACATCCTCAGGCTAGCAGCAGCTTACTCCGAGGCACCCCCATCAGGCTCTGGCAGCGGTTGGTTGGTCAGCGGATCAACCAATCGATGCCGAATCGCTTTCTGGCACATGTCCTCAACGTCTCTGAGAGGCTGAGCAATTGCAACCATAGATGTGTGACTGGTTCCCTCTCTTGGCGACATGATATTTAGCTTGGAAGTCGCGACTCGAAGCGTGCAGCTAGGCTGCTTTCTCATAGGTATTACCAACCATGTTGACAACGGGCTCGCGAAACCTGGAGCATTGCGGGGGCCAACATCACAATTGCAAACATCAGCTAAAGACTCTCCCGGCGACTCTAGCCTGTTACGGCAAGCTGCATGGATGCGGAGAGCGGGCATATGAGCCATTCCGGCTCTTCAAACGGGTTGCAGGAGCTTGTCGCCATTGCTCCAGCCATGCTCTTTAAAAGCCAAAGTTACCGAGATTGCAAGCATGCAAGTCACGACGAGCAGCAGCAGCAGCAGCAGCAGCAGCAGCAAATCCAAATCGCAGCAACACCTCCGATGTCTTGTGCGAGGCTTGCCTTTTCCCTCAGCCAGCATCGTCACGAAAGCTCTCCGTGCACATATTGATCTCGGAACGCTCGCCCAGCGTCTGCAGCACCTGGCTCCAGGAACACAAGCTGACCGGATGACAAAAGCTAAGTCTGCTATCTAGTCCTTGGTAAACCGGTGTGACTGTCGGGTGCCTCTCGAAAGGGACGCAAATTTCCATCACCCCGCGGGTCAATGATTGCAAGGACGACAGCATCGAAAGCACCGCGAAAGTCAGGAGAAGCCAGCTGCTGGGCGAACAGCCTGGACAAACACGGTCCAGGCATGGAACATCACACCGCCCAGGAACCCGGCACACTCTGCCACATGAAGTTGCCAACTATACTGAACACATTCCGAAGCGCTCTGCCACTTCTCGCGGGGGGTTTCCAAAAGCTCCGCAACCCCAAGCGCCGAGGACAAGATTGGGATGCCCGGACCGCTGACTTGGCCGACAGAGCGCACATCAACTGACAAAACATCACTGTGACCTTCACTGGCACACTAGCTTACTAGCTGTGGTGGAACTCAGGCCTAGGATGGCAATCAAGCAAGTATTATCATCATCATCATCGTCATCATCATCGTCATCATCATCGTCATCATCATCGTCATCATCATCGTCATCATCATCATCATCGTCATCATCATCATCATCCTGCATATTCGTACGCATGTGACGATGGCGCTTGCTGCGGCACTTGTTGCTCTTGAGATGAATGCTCCGAGCAACACTTGCATTTTCCTTGATGCTTGTCCACACTATTGCTGAGTACTAGGGTGTGTGTGTGTGTGTCACAGAAGCAGAAGCAGAATAAGAAGCAAAAGCAGAAGCAAAAGCAAAAAGAGGTGGCAGTAGCAGCAGCAGCAGCAGCAGCAGCAGCAGCAGCATCAGCAACGGAAGAAGGAGGAGGATTAGTGCGAGAAGTAACTGTTCTCTGTCAGTTACTAGTAGGTACCGTACTTGTAGTTACTAGCTAGCAGCTAGTAGTTGGTAGTTAGTAGTTAGTAGTTGGCAGGTCGTAGCTGGTAACTGAAGTTAGTAGTTCGTAGTAGGTAGCTAGTAGCTAGTAGCTAGTCGCTAGTAGCTTGTGGCTAGTAGCTCGTAGATCGCAGCTAGTAGCTAGTAGCTGGTAGCTGGTAGTGAGTCGTGAGTAGTTAGTCGTTAGTAGCTCGTAGTTTGTATTTAACGGTTAGTAGTTTGTGGTTGGTGGTTACTCGTCAGTCGTTCGTAGATAGTAGCTAGCAGTGCGTAGTGAGTAGTGAGTAGTTAGTAGAAGAAAATAGTAGGTAGTAAGTACGAAGCAGTAAGTAATGGGTAGTAAGCACGGAGCAGTAGGTAGTAGGTAGCAACTAGTAAGTAGTAAGTAAGAAGTTGCAAGTAGTAAGTAGTAGGTGGCAAGCAGGATGCAGCAAGTTGCAAGTAGTGAGCAGGGAGTAGTAAGCCGTAAGTTTAAGTAGTAAGTAGTGCATAGTCGTAAGGTCGTAGAGCAGCGTAGTAGCACTAGCAGTAGTAGCAGTAGCAGTAGAGCAGTAGTAGCAGTAGTAGCAGTAGTAGCAGTAGTAGCAGTAGTAGCAGTAGTAGTAGTAGTTGTTGTTGTTGTAGAAGTAGTAATAATAGCAAAAGCAGTAGTTGCTAGTATTGAATATTGAGTAGTGAGGAGTGAGTCGCGTGTAGAAGTGGTGGTAGTAGAAGTAGCGGTGGTAGTAGCAGTAGTACTAGCAGCAGTAGCAGCATAGCAGTAGTCGTCGTTGTCGTCGTAGCAGCCGCTGCAGCTGTAGTAGTAGTCGTCGTCGTCGACGTCGTAGTAGTAGTAGTAATGGTAGTGGTAGTGGTAGTGGTAGTGGTAGTGGTAGTGGTAGTGGTAGTGGTAGTGGCAGTGGCAGTGGTAGTGGTAGTGGTAGTGGTGGTGGTAGTAGCAGNNGTCGTCGTCGTCGTCGTGGCACTAGTAGAAGAAGTAGAAGTAGTAGTAGCAGCAGTAGTAGTAGTAGTAGTAGTCGAAGCACTAGTAGAAGAAGTAGAAGTAGTAGTAGTAGAAGTAGTAGTAGTAGTAGCAGCAGCAGTAGTAGCAGCAGTAGTAGAAGCAGAAGCAGAAGTAGTAGTAGAACTAGAACTAGAACTAGAACTAGAACTAGAAGTAGAAGTAGAAGTAGAAGTAGAAGTAGAAGTAGAAGTAGAAGTAGAAGTAGAAGTAGAAGAAGTAGTAGTAGTAGTCGTCGTAGTAGTAGTAGCAATAGTATGTAGATGTAGATGTAGATGTACTACTAGTTGTAGCAGTAGTCGTCGTCGTCGTCGTGGTAGCGGTAGCGGCAGCGGCAGCGGCAGCGGCAGCGGCAGTGGTAGTGGTAGTGGTAGTGGTAGTCGTCGTCGTCGTAGCATTATTAGCAGTACAGTAGCAGTGGTAACAGAAGCAGTCGTCGTCGTCACCGCAGGAGCAGCAGTGCTAATACTGTGGTGGTGGCGATGGTGGCGGTGGTGGTTTCGGTATCATTGGTAATGTTACTGCTACTTTGCTCTTCAGCTTCACCACTGGCACATCTGAGTGATGCCAATTCCATGCCGGTTGCAATCGACCACGGTGCGCCGCATGAAGAACAGCACGAATTCTTGTCGTGACAGTGGAGGTCCACGCTTGTGTTCGCGGCATGGGACATCCTTGGATTCCTGCTGTGAGCAATTGAAGTTGAATTCGAACCGTGGTGCATGAGCAGCCCGGGGTTATGCCAAATTGATAAGAGTGCTTGCATGGCAGTCGACGCAGGCAAGGAGCCGTTGGGCATCGCAGCGGTGATTACAGAGCAGGTTCCCAAAGAACCCCTCAGCAGGTTGTAGCTGCCGGGCTCTCCTGGAACACCCACTTGTTTAAGATCGAGACAGCCACAACAACACTTTTGCGGCGGCATGATGCTTGGTAACCTCGAGTCTGCTTGCAGCCCAGGCACGAACTGCCAGCAGGTCACGTGTGAGAAGCACGGCCTTGCGCAAGCAGCACATTGTGAGTCCTGAACTGATCAACTAAGCGTGGCATGTTAGTGTTCAATCTCCGAAATTGCCTGAGCGCTTGCCTTCCCTGAGTGCTTACCTTTAAACCTGCCAGCTCGTGATCTCTGGAGCATCAACAATTTCACTCTCGGCCATTGGCTGCGATCTGCTGCATGACCCAGTCGTGCATACTCACGCTCATTCAACACTGCAAAACCGCATACCTTCTCAGTAAACATGAAGCCGTTGATTGCTAAAATCCTCTGGCCCGTTGAGCAACATCCGACCATACATCACAAAAGAATGCTGTCGAGCACGAGGGCACACAACGCCCTTGCAGAGAAGTGCAGAAGCCGACTCAACTGACTTCGATTACTGTAGCAGCATCTAGTTCAGCAGTAGGGTAAAACTAACCTGTCTCACGACGGTCTAAACCCAGCTCACGTTCCCTATGTTCCCTATTGGC